AACCCCATGAGACTGGTATAATTATTACCACCATTTTGTAGATGAGGAAACAGAGACATAGAGAGGAAAAGAATGAATGTGTAAGTGAATAAATGAGTACTTCTATTTGGCTTGAGCATAAATTTGTGAAATAAAGCTGAGAAAGTAGGTTTGGTCCATATCAAACAGGGCTTGTATGCCTTGCTAAAAAAATTAGACTTAATCCTATTAAATATTGTCACTATCCCACATATGATCTACAGAATGTTAATAGGTGCTGCATGTGAAAAGGGAGTTCCATCTTTAAATTGAAAAACTTTTTGAGTGTAACAGTGTTTAAGAGGATTTCTCAGAGCTTTTAAAATTATAAAGAACATTGTAATTTTTTAAGAAGCTGATATACTGTGCAGTTTTTCCCTCAAATACCTTACCAAGAAATTAAGAGACTTACTGTTGAGCAGAACACTTTACTGGATTGATTCAGTAGGAAAGCAGTAAAAATTATTAAGTAGGAAAGTAAAATGTTATTTATAGAAATTATTTATTGCTGTGATGTATTAAGTTCATTGCATATCAACTAAATTTTCAGGCTAGATTACATTCAAGTGTTGGCTCCACTGTTGATTGGCTATGTAATCAACATCAAGAGTTTAATCTTTCTTCTTGTAAGTACATTAAAAATAACAATAGTATTTACTTATGCTTATTGTGAGAATTAAATAAACAGTCCATATAAATGGATGAGGACAAAGCGTAGCCTATACTAACTATTCAATTCATGTCTGCTATAACTATTTTGTGGTTGCACAAGTGGCATGTAGTAAAGACATATAATATAGGAAAATTGTAGTTGAAATTGTAAAATAAGCAAAAATATTGAATAAGCACTTAACAAAAGAACATATTTTAAAAAACAATAAACAGGAAAAGATGATAAAGATAACTGGGAATCAAAAAGATAAAATTAAAACCATAAAATACGTGAAATGGTGAAAAAACTTAAATTAACAAGGATTGGCAGTAGAACTTTACAACCTGCCGTACACTGCTGGTAGGAGTATAAATTGTTAATATCATTTTGGAAACTATTTGGCAATATCTACTAAAGTGAAACATAAATGCACACACACATATTTATGACTTAGAAACTCTACGAATAGGTGTGTACCAGCAAAAATATGCACAAACGTGGAGCAAAAAATAAGAAAAGCCTCATTATTCATTTATTGGATACAACTCATATGTCTATCAAGAGTAAAATGAACCAATTACGATATGAATTCACTACTGCTGCAAACAAGATAGATGAATGTCACAAACATAAAACTGAGCAAAAGAAACCAGGCACAAAAGTGTACATGTTTTGTAATCTTACGTATAAAGTTAAAAATATGCAAAGCTAATCTATAGCAATAATAACAAAATTGGAGTTTGCATTTGGGGATGGAATAATGACTGGGTAAAAGCATGAAGGAGGCTTTTGGGTGTTGCTAGAGTTCTATTTCTAGGCGTGGGCAGTGATTATATGGGTGTGCTCACTTTTTACGAATTAATTGAGCTGTATGCTTAATGATTTGTTTACATTTCTATGTCAATATTATACGTCAGTATAAAAGTTTACTTAAAATATAAGAAAATACTAGACTGGAATCAGGGCTACTTAGGAAACTGAGTTAATGTAGAGGAATTTAAGTGAGAAAATATCAAATATAGACCCCAGTTTTCAGACTGTAGGAACAAGAGGACATTGCAAAGTTAAAGACTATTGCAATAGGCTCCAAACTGGTTTTTCAATTACCCATTGCTACCCAGATGACACAATACTGCTGATATTCCTGAATCATTTTAAATCCCCACTTCAAAACCTTTCATTGTTTCTAGGAAACGTAATTGTTTCTAAACCTGAAGAATGAAGTCTAATTTCCTTGACTTTACATCCAGATTCTCTCAGTTCTGCTGTTCTTCCCTGTCCCCAGACCTTCCACTTCAACTCAAACTGATGACTGTATGTGCTGTCTCCAGACCATGGCACATCTTGACTCCAGGTCCTTGCTCATGGTGTGCCCATGGCTTAGAAGGCCATTGTCTCCCTAATATTAGGGCCATGATCTCCCTAATAGGAATCAGCTTTCCTTCCAGGAACACATCAGTCTTCCTTCAGAGCGCCATCCTCCCTAATTGCCAAAGATGACAGAATTATTTCACTTTCCTAACTCATTAATTGTTCATTGTTCTTACCATTGAGTAATACTTAGCAAAAATTATTTTATTGGTCTTTTTAATTTCCTTTCTTTTCTTCCATTTTCCCTCCTTCTCTCCCTCCCTGCCACTTTCTACCTTCCTTCCTTTCTTCTTTTCCATCCTTGTTTACTTCTCCATAGTCTTGCCAATATATTTATATACCTATTCCATATACTCACTGAGAGTCTGAGTTCTTAACATGATATTTGATATTTATCTGGGCCTGACATATAGAAGATTCTCAACAAATATTTACTGATGACAATTTGCCTAAAGTCAAAGACACAGACACATTGAAGAGCAAAACACACACGAGAACATAGATTTGCCTATTTCTAACCCTAAACTAGTTCAAGTAAATCATTGGACTTCAAACTTCTCAAGTCTGTAATTATATCATTAAAAATTGTTGAAGATACATCACTAATATGTATATATTTACTAAAGAATTGTATAAATGTATTATTCAAAAATGTGCATTAAAATATGCAAATATAAAAAATGGAATTTTTTTTCAATAGCGTATATGGAACAAACAGAATTTTTATCTTCCTCATAGTGCTGGCTGCACACACTTAAAAACAAAATTCAGGCCGGGCACAGTGGGTCACGCCTATAATCTGAGCAATTTGGGAGGCTGAGGTGAGCAAATCACAAGGTTAGGAAATCGAGACCATCCTGGCCAACATGGTCTCTACTAAAAATACAAAAATTATCTGGGCCTGGTTGTGGGTGCCTGTAATCCCAACTACTCAGGAGACTGAGGCAGGAGAATCACTTAAACCCAGGAGGTGGAGCCTGCAGTGAGTTAAGATCGCTCCACCGCACTACAGCCTGGGATATAGAGCAAGACTTTGTCTCAAAAAAAAAAAAAAAAAAAAGAAGGAAAAAATTTAAAAAGTTCATTGATAAATCCATATATTGCAAAAGTTTCTTGAAATTTTTTACATGCTTTTGGTCAGCTTTGGTATTCATCTTATGATGCGGCTTCTGAGAAGACTGTGTAAGTAGAAATATTCATTCTGTATTTTACTAGCTTTTTTTCTTTTGTTTGCATTATTGGCATTATCTTCAATCTGCATTTTCTTTCTGGAATCTTTTTAAGGCACTTGTTCACTTGTAAGAGTAAACCAATGGAACAGTAAACAGATTTACTCTTTCTTCAGGATCCCATTGCCCTCACAGATAACCATTACCAGTGTCAATCCGTTTATGAAATACATGGTATCAATCTAAATACAAAATAACATGACAAAGCCACTGTCAGTCTGTACATGATATATTGGCAAACTCTAATTTCGCTTCTACTTTTATATGAAAAATAAGTATGAAAACCTCTAAAATTTTCATTGTATACCTTTGTTTTGTTAATCCTTATACCTGTGTTTTGTTATGCACTTCACTTTAAAAGCAGCCATACTACTTTCTTCATAGGAAGACGATTTCATTATTTTCTAATCATTCTAGACTATTTTACTATAGAATTTCTGAATAGTGAGGGCATAGCTAATTCTTACTGATAGACACCAAATTAATGCCACTAACTATCACTCATATCACTAGTCTTCTTTTTATTTGCTAGTATTTCTTACTGTAATTCCTTATTACTCAGTCTCTATCCCTGTTAATTAAAGTTACCATTTGGTTAGGGGAAATTGTTATGGAAATTTGTATAAAAGAGTTGTGCTATATACTTTAACAGTAAATGTCATTGTGTCTAAGGAAACATTGTGCCAACTCTTAAACTGATGGTTAATTTTTTTTCTATGTTAGTTGTGCTTTCACCTCTGTCTTTAAATCTAAAATCATTCTATCATTTTTTCCTGTAATTGGAAGTTTCACCGTGACAGTCAATTGATTGGCTATCAGAAGTCATGTGACTTATTTTATTCTGGGCACCCAAAACATATGTAACGTAAGTCAGAAGCAAGGGGGTTGACATTAAAGAGTAAGGGGCAGAGTAGTCAAGGACTGGGCTGTAATTGCATCCTAGTCCTGTCTCTTAGTAACCATGTGTTCCAGGACAAATTACTTTTGACTTCAATGTTTATAATAATAACTACTTCCCAGGGTTGTCATGAGAATTATATGAGATGTGTGTAAAGTGCCTGGCATCTACCAGATGCTTAATAAATGGTAGCTGTTAGTACTGTTATTATTATTTCTGTTATTAAACTCCCTACAGGAAGGAGGAGTGTTCTTTTACTTTTTCACTTGGCTTACTTAATGGAGCTACATACTGTACCATCTACTTCTCCCTTCTGTACAAATAGGCTGGTTTTTTTTTAAAAAAAAAACTAAAATTAAATGGGCATTTTTATTGGAACACCTTGCAGGTTCATTTTTGCAGGGAGCAGAGAAATCCATATCCCTGATTCGAGGTGGAAGGAGTGAATATGCAGCAGCTTTGGCATGGGAGAAAGGGAGCTCTGGTCTGGAGGAGAAGACATTTTCTGACTGGTTAGAATCAGTGAAGGAAAATCCTGCTGTGATTGACTTTGAGGTAAGGGTAAAAATTATTCCAGGTAAGAGATCTAAAGTAGTTCTCTAGTGGCCCAAATTGCACATCACACAATTTATTTTCCATTTTCTTCTCAGACAATAAAAGAAATGGCTTTCTTTAGTATTCATGCACAACGTACCTTTTTAAAATGTTAAATTGCATGTCTATTGCTTTTGCTGTTAACAGTACAGTATTTAGAATTCCTAGCATGCATGAAACACCAGGAAATGGAACTTAGTGAATAAAAATGCTCAAACTTGCCTTGAGTAGTACTTATTTTTCCATGTATACAATAAATCTGGTTTCTGCATTCTTCTTGCAACTCCTTATTTGATGAACACTCCTAAGTCTTCATTTGTAGCTCTGTGAGATAAATGAGATTTTAGATCCATTTTACTTCCTGTTTCGATTACTATTGATTGAATTTACCAGTTTTGTATTTGTTGTAATTGCATTAAAAGGTGATATTTATTATTTATGGAATGCTTTACCCACGTATCAGCCATATGCCATTTAGAACTTGTTTTCCCCCAAACATTCCACATTTTTAAAAGGCCTCCAAAGAAGCTATTATGTTCATTTCGTTTAAATGAAGATGAAAGAGTTCAATCATTATGAAAATAGAATCATTTACATGCAGCATGAAGATGTATTGAACTCTACAAGTTATGGGAGAAAAATGAGACCCAGCTGCCCTTCCGGGTACTTGCAAGTCATATTGCACTAGACGGTCATTTCTTTGAGGTTTTACGATGTTAATAAAATGAGCCCTGATTTATCATTAGCCCATTATTTGTTACTGTAATTCTTCCATTCATCCTACTGGCAAGTTTATTTCTTCATTTTCTCCCACTCCATATTTTCTCATCTAACTCCAACAAAAGCCAAAACTGTCCCTGGAAAAAAAAAGAACATGGAAAGCTTCTCTTATCCTCTCTAGATTTTTTGTTGCTTAAATCAAATTTAATAAGGTTTCAGCAGAGCAGTAAAGAGTTGCCAAACTCTTGGTCACCAATCTCAGTGCTTTGATGCATGCATAGAATACTTAATAAATAACATAACATACAACCAAGTAAGCAACACCTCCCATGTGACTTCCTTCACAGTAAAATTGCAGGTAAGTGCCATATACATCACACCGATCCACAGGTAGAAAGCTTTTGCCTACTGGTTCAACAGGTGCCAATACTATATTCTGCAATAATCCCTTTGAAGTGTAGAATTTTCCGGCTTTCCCTCTCATCTCATGAGAACTGGGCAGTAATGGCAACCTATTACCAAAGTGGATGTGACTGGACCTCCTCTCTCCCATTTGCTTCTAGCTTGCCCCCATCGTGGACTTGGTAAGAAACATCCCCTGTGCAGTGACAAAACGGAACAATCTCAGGAAAGCTTTCCAAGAGTATGCAGCCAAGTTCGATCCTTGCCAGTGTGCTCCATGCCCTAATAATGGCCGACCCACCCTCTCTGGCACTGAATGTCTGTGTGTGTGTCAGAGCGGCACCTATGGTGAGAACTGTGAGAGACGATCTCCAGATTACAAATCCAGTAAGTATCAGGAATCTATTGTGAGGTAGATACGTTTTCCCTTCCAAAGAGTATTCTAAATTGTTCAATTAAAAAGAAACAAAACTTCTATCAGCAGCCTCCACCTTGTACAGGCTCAGAGAGAAGATAAACCTGCAAAAAGTGTGAATCTCAAGTGTAACCTACCAACTATGTGACCTTGGGAAAGTTACCTAGTTTTCCTATGCCTCAATCTGTTCATCCATAAAATGAGGATAACACCAGTATCTATCTAAGGAATATGAATATATTATATAAGTATTTGTATATCAAGAGTACATGCACAATGCTCATAACATAAAAAATCAAACATAACATTAAATAAAATATATGATACTGATATTATAAGCCTCTTATGTATTGTAATACAGAAGGAGGATGACTTTGTAATAAAAGATGAATTAAGCCACAACAAAAGTTTTCATACAGGACTAAGTAATGTTCACAGTTACCTCAAATCCTCCTTAGAAACAGGGTAAGGCATGGGAGTAAGAATGTATTCTACTACCTTTAAAAATGTAATTTAATATGCATCCTATTAAGAAGATGTTCATGTTTATACATATATGAGTGCACATTTTTAAAAGGTCTCCAAAGCAAAGAATAAAAAGGTTTGTTAACAGTTGAAAATAATTCATAATGGTTGCCATTTGTTGCCATTTTATTTAAGTTTATGGGAACAAAGTCTAAAAGGAAATCAGGCAATGTATCAGGCCCCTTCCACAGGTAATTTCTTTTAATCCTCAGAAGAACCCTATCATATTCCACAAAGGAAGTTACTCAGCTAAAAAGTGAGGAAACCAGGTTGGCCTCGCTTCAAAACCCAAATTCAGCTGCACCATGATCCATGGGGGTGAGTCTTCCTTTGTTCCAGATGCAGTAGATGGACACTGGGGTTGTTGGTCTTCCTGGAGTACCTGTGATGCTACTTATAAGAGATCGAGAACCCGAGAATGCAGTAATCCTGCCCCCGAAAGAGGAGGGAAACGCTGTGAGGGGGAGAAGCGACAAGAGGAAGACTGCACATTTTCAATCATGGAAAACAAGTAAGACTGGGTAAGGGAAAAGAATGGGTCATTTTGCCCTAACTCTCAATAACATTGAGAGTTCAAATGGTTATTAGTCTACTGCTAAGTAAATAAATAATTAGAACTTTACCTATACCAACACAGAATATTAATGAGCCATTGGGTCTGCTGCTGTGCCTTTTTCTGTGTGTAATGTTTTCTATTTAATACATATATGTATGTAATGTGTACATATGTATACACAGAAGCATATACACACATGTAAATGTGTGTACATACATACATATACACGCATATTTATGTTTCCCTTTTAGTGGACAACCATGTATCAATGATGATGAAGAAATGAAAGAGGTCAATCTTCCTGAGATAGAAGCAGATTCTGGGTGTCCTCAGCCAGTTCCTCCAGAAAATGGATTTATCCGGGTCAGCATCCTAACCCTCATTTTTGATTTATAGTTTTAAAAACCTCGAAAAGTATAGATTGTCTTTTAATTAGAGTTACTGTTTTCCTATTCAAATAATCTCCTGTTGACTTTAAAAGTACAAAATAATATTTAGAAACACTTTGCCACTCTTCCATCTTGAATTTCCTAGAGATGTCTTCATAGCCAGTTGTTAGACTAAAGGATAGCAGATTGCTTGGGTTTCTTGGAAAGATAATAGAACTTCAATATAATATAAGACTGTATGACTTGTGAGAATTTGCAAGTAAGATCTGGCTATTTCAGAGTCTGAGCAAACTGATACCTTTACCTAAGGAATGTTTAGAGAAACACACTAGACTGGCTATAATCATAGGAGGTGTTTGTTCTGTATTGTTTTATTAGGTTAGAAACCTGTAGAGTTCTTACGCAGTCAAAACCATTTTCACGTACCTTTAAGTTTCAACTTTTTTTACTAAGTCACAGTATGTTTCTATGACTTTTTTAAAAGCTGAATACTTTTTGTCAAACAGATCTACGCCCTTAGACATAAATTGTTCAGGTGATACATGATATCTAAAATTGATCACAGAAGGCATGCTCCCTATTTCATTTTACCTTTCTTAAACTTAGTAATATCATTACATTAATCTTTTCCCAACTGTATCACACTTATGATAAAAGATCAATAACACTCAATTCTCTAAGGTCAGCAAATAGTTTTATTCACGGAGTATAGTCTGGGCTAATGTATCTTCCATATTCACTTATTTTTCTGCCCATGCATAAGGACCATACATTAAAGTTTATGGGGAGGAAATATTTCAGAGGGAGGTAATTTTAATTAGTCTTTACTCTAGAAAAAAGGTTCTCAAACTCAACAATACGCCAAAGGACCTGTTAAAACACAGATCATTGGGTCTCACTCCTCGAGTTTCTGATCCAGAAGGTTTTGGGAAGGGCACGGAAATGTCCATAGCTAATACATTCCTAGGTAATACAGACGCTGATGGTTTAGGAGCCACACTTTGGGAACCAATTCTTTTGAACAAGAGCCATCAGTCTATGGCCCAAAGGCCAAATTTGACCTGCCACTTAAAAAAATAAAGTTTTATTTTTATTGAAACACAGCCATATTCATATGTTTACATATCGTCTATGGCTACTTTCATACAATAACGGCAGAGGTGAGTAATTTCAACAGACGCCACATGGCCTACATATGACTATCCAGGCCACTTATAGGAAAAACTTGCTGGCCCCTGCCCTAGAACATTATCCTTAAAATCACATATTGGCAGATCCAGATACCAAAATAACTTAATCTATTTATTCCGGTTGCATACAAAGACCATTAAAATTATTGACATTCTCATTTTAAAAACGCACAAAGGCTTTCAACAGTGATGCATTATTCTTCTAACTCATTTTATAAGGTTAGATTATATATTCCCATTTTCATGGATAAATTCATTTATTTTATTTTGCTCTTTACTAAAGTCCTGGTCTCTATCTGGCAATAGTTTTTACTCAAATGTAATAAAATTTTATTTTTTCCTAATAAGCATCTTCTGGAATTTCTAGTGGTAAAATGCCCCTTGTATAGATTCAAATAGAGGTAGATATGCCTAATTCCAAGCTAGAGCAATGATGTTATTGCACACAAGTATGTTTATTTAATGAGTAACAGACAAGTCCAACCTCTGTAGGCAAGTGACAGGGACTTTTGGCAAGGTTTTTTGTTTAGTCAGTCTACCAAATGTACTTCCCTAACTTTGATTATTGCAACATACACTTATATGTTACAAATTCATAAAAAAACAAGAAATACAAACAAAAGTTTAAGGCAATAATTTATTTCAGAAGAAATGCAAGAAAAAACTGTGCAGCCTTTGAATAAAACATCCAAATCATTAGTCCATTTCCCTTGGAAACAAAGCCATATCAGTAATAACCAGCAGTAGAATGGTAGTTTTGTATCCAAAAAATTAAGAATCTTCTAGGAGACAAGTTTAACCATATGACCAAGTAAACATAAGCTGACAATTAAGTTTTCACCGCCCTCAAGTTCCCAGCTTCGATTATCAGAGAACAACTGCTTAGTCAATTCTTGGTACTCTTACCCCTCTCAGTAAAGGAAAATTGTATTGCATTACTAGCTCCTTAAGAAGGATAACGTTTTGTATTCTTTCAGCAAAGAATTCAGGCCCATATAAAGATTTATGAGACAGAGATCTGGTTGTGGAGTTGACACTAAAGGGTCAGGGCTGGGGCTGATAAACGTGATAAACACTATAAAAATAGAGCCTTGCATGAGTTTCTCTCAGAACTGAAAGGACGTTGTACCTCATGAAACCAGGGAAATCGAAGATTTTTGCAAAGGATGGTCTAGTTGAGCTGGGTCTTGAGGGGAAGAGAGAAGGTGTTGAGGATACAAGGAACAGCCACGTGGAGACATGGAGGCATGAAAAAGAAGTTTATGTTCAAAGAATGGCAGGGTTTTGCTTTGCTAGAGCATAGGTTTTATGGGAGGAAATGGCAGGCGGTGAGGGGGGTAAAGTAAGTTAAAATAAATATTCTGATCTAAGAAGTATAAGACTCACTTTACCTTGAAAATTGTAGTGAACTACCCCCCCGCCCACCACCCCTGGCAACATGATAGTAGTTGTACAATCCATTAATTGGGAAAATATATAATGACCAGTGGGTTACTAGGAATTGAGTAACAATTTTAAATGATCTGCACTCAGTCACAATAGCAACTGCTTATGTTTGCTTTATATGTAAGATATATTATTTATTCAGTTTATAGTCACTACATAGTGAGCATATGGTTTTCTATTCTAGCAATAGAAGGACATCCCATATATAAAGATTTTTAGTTTCTTCTTCTTTTTTTTTTTTTTTTGTTTGTTTTGGGGATTTTTGTTTGTTTGTTTTTTGGTTTTGGTTTTGAGACAGGGTTTCACTGTGTCACCCATGCTGAAGTACAGTGGAACAATCATGGCTCACCACAGCCTCAACCTTCTGAGCTCAAGCAATCCTCCCAGTTCAGCCTCCCAAGTAGCTGGGACCACAGGCACATGCCACCACTTCTGGCCACTTTTTTTGTATTTTTGTGGAGACAGGGTTTTGCCATGTTGCCCCAGCTGGTCTCAAACTCCTGGACTCCAGTGATCCACCTGCGTCAGCCTCTCAAAGTGTTGGGATTATAGTCATGAGCCACCATTCTTGGCAGGGGAGCAAGTTTTCAAGTTAAAAAACAAACAAACAAAACCCTAATCAATTCAGGGAGACAGACTGGAAGAATGACCAGTTAAAAAGTTACCCTAGTAAGAAACAATAAATACCATGAAGAAAAACAATGATGGCAACGGGAAGGAGAGAACTTTAACAGGTTTTCAGAAGTAGAAATTGAGAGGACTCGGTGACTGAGTAGATCCAGAAGTGAAGGATAGAAAGGCTCAGTGTGAGCCTAAAGAGTTAGAGAGTGTTATTCGTAGCATTAATAATTTCTGGTTTCTGCTTTAATTAAGAATGAAAAGAAACTATACTCGGTTGGAGAAGATGTTGAAATTTCATGCCTTACTGGCTTTGAAACTGTTGGATACCAGTACTTCAGATGCTTACCAGACGGGACCTGGAGACAAGGGGATGTGGAATGCCAACGTGAGAACTGGGCAAACAATTTTGCTTGACAACTTTACAGAATGAATGTGCCCAATATAAAAACAGTAAAATCACATCCTTAGATCAATACATTTTACTCATTTTTAGTAACTCTGGTGAAAGAGTTTGTGAAGCAGGAAATAAATAGGAGGGCTCATTTGCTAAAACTGGATTTCCAGATATCTCCATACTTCCGTGTTCCTGCTCCTACATATTACTGTCACACACACAGGACTGCGAAGTATGCACTTCGCAAGAAATCCGGGAAGTCGGCAAGTTGTATCTAACCACAGATATCTGCCTTGCCCAATGTTCAAATTGACGCAAATTGCTGAGTCTCAAGAAGATGATATTTACACTCTTTATGTATCAGAAATGGGAATGTGTGTAAGACGCGATTTTGTGTAAGATACAGTTTTCACCAAGACACTACTCCTTGGCGCATGTTCACATTCTTTGCTGAGAAAGAGTGAATAAGCTTTAGGCTCTGCACATATCTGTGCTAGAGTAAAGTAAAAACCAAGGTTCAAATAAGGCTTGAATGGGACTCCAAAGACTTATTTTGGGGCACCATGAAGCAGAGTTGAGACCAATGTCAATTAGAATGCCCATCACTCTGCATCACTCACAGCGTGGTAACTTGCATTTGGAGAAATCCACTAGGGATAAGAGAAAAGAAAGTGTTTCTTGAAAGGAAAAGGGCCCAATGATTTCATAAAAGTTGGATGTGTCTGGAACCAGTTCTTTAGCAAGGGAACTTCAGATAATGAAACTAAAGGGAATTTTTCAATGAAGGGTCTGAGGGAAAGCCCAGGATTCTTATCCCCCAGGTTTTCTGATCAAAAGGAGGCACCACAGTTGAACAAATGCTGTAAATCTCATCAAAATCACCTCTTTGGTTGCATAAAATTTGCCTAAATTTGTTGTTTATTCTGTTCCACTAAACACATATGAAATGTTGCTCTCTTGCAGGGACAGAGTGCATCAAGCCAGTTGTGCAGGAAATTCTGACAATTACACCATTTCAGAGATTGTATAGAATTGGTGAATCCATTGAGCTAACTTGCCCCAAAGGCTTTTTTGTTGCTGGGCCATCGAGGTACACATGCCAGGGGAATTCCTGGACACCACCCATTTCAAACTCACTCACCTGTGAAAAAGGTGCGTAGCAGCTCAGTATTCTGGGGTCTGATAAGGTGGTGCACCCTGAGATTGGTAGTATAGCCTCTACAGCCATTCTATGTCTTAAGCACTGAGAGGCTAAATAAAACACAAGTTTAGACAGTGTGGGTCAAACAGCAACTATGCAATGGCTCTGCTAATTCCGTAAGCTCTTTGCCATCCTGCCTCCTTTATTCTCTTCTGGGCTTTTATGATGTGTGAAATAAAGGGAGAAAGTTAACCTTTTGAAAAACCTTAAATAAAATTATCAGTAAAAAGATCTCATGGAAATTAGTGAGAACTAATTTTGTGTAAGTATTGTGTCTTGGTTTCACTAGACTCCTGATCATAATAATAAATTACAAGGAACATAAATGTCAGTGGAATGAATGTATGTGGAAGCCATAGACTTCAGAAAGTTAAGATCTTTTGGACACCGTAGGCAGTATCCTCATCAGAGCATATGCATGCATGTGCACACACATCCCCTTAGATTAGAAATTAAAATTATAATCCAAACTGAGAAATAGGAAATGTTCCATTAAAATTATTATTCAAACTGAGAAACAGGAAATGTTCCACCGCTAGATAAAGGAAACACATAGCCTATTTCATATACTTTCTCTCCAATAATATTGACAGAAAGACCAATGCAGGGAGTCACAGAAAGAGAAAGACAATCATAAATAAAACCGACACTGTGAGGTAAAGACACTTTCAGGCAGGGAAACATTATTAATTCTTTCAATGTGAAAAAGTTCTGCTTCATAAAGATGTGAGATGCTACACAGTTACTTTTTCCTTCCTCCCAGACCTGGACTCCTCCAGTAGCCCTTCAGAGGATCCTCTTGCCCTGAGCGCTTTACAGACTGTGCAGTATTGTTGCTCTTGTGTTGGGAGGTGTGGGCAGCTGAGTCCCAGCACTGCTTCAACCTGAGGCTGATTGGAAGAGCAGATTCCTTGCATAAGATCATTGACAATTTCAAACCTGTAGCGAAAGAGCAAGGCTCCGTGCCACTTGAAAACTGATTGATTCTTTTTGGAAACAGTGTATACCTTGCTGCTCCTCCCTGGCCTAAATGTAGAATTACAAAGGGCAAAGAGGCATAAGTAAACAATATCACCACAATGTAAACCATAGTAGCTAAAGCCTTACCGGAAGGATAGGTCTCCAAGTTCACCAGAGTTCTGGGCCAAGTTTCACCAGATAGCATGGGGGTAATAGAAGGAAATGAAAACAACTGTGAATAAGAAAACCTAGGAATTTTTTATATCTTTATTTTTGCTTCTAACATGAGCCACCTTTCCTTATCAAGCCTTCTACTTGATAAGCTAAGAGGAGGAAGAGTGAGCTAAGCCTCCAGTTCTGCCTTGACAATTAACTTGCTCACGAGGTCCTTTTGGTTCTGGGGATGCCTGAATAGTCAGATCCGGATCAAAAAATTTTGTTTCATTCAATAGACTCAGGAGTTTGGCTCTAGGTCCAGATTCTCTAGGTGGGCCTCAACATGAGCAAAGAAACCAAGGTTCCCTCTTTCATAAATACACCCCCAGTGTCACTCCCTCTATTTTCATCCCCCTCCCTCACCGACATGCTATTCAGTTCCTCATCTTAGTTCAAGTGTAATTTCCTTACGAATCCTTCCTTACCCTTCCCATTTGGAGTCTTTATGGTATGTGGTCTCCTGAAACCATGTTCCCTTTCTTCAGAATACTTGTCTCAGCCCTTAATTATAAATCCATTATTATAATTATTTGATTAATATCTGTATTCTCTTTCTTTTTTCCTCTCCTTTACTCTCCTCTCCTCTCCTCCACCTTTCTTCCATCTGTCCTTTCTTTTTTTTTTTCCCCCACCATAATGTCCTAGTGCCTAGAATGTCATGCAGGGATTAATACCTACATTTAGGAGCTGCATTTCTCCATTGATTCTTGTAAGAAAATCTGACTTGCAAGCCATTCACATCCACATTGCTAAATCTAATGGACTTTTTTTTTTTCCTTATCTTCTTTGACCTCTCAGCAACCTTCAGCAATGTTGACCTTCTGCACGTATGTTCTTTCCTTGGCTTCATATTCTTGTTTACCTCCGAATTTCTGGCTGTTGCCCTCTATTTTTGGCAGGCTCCTGCCAGTGCTTGGACATTAATCACTGTTCGTTTCCCAAGTTTTGGATCTGTACTCTCCTACTGAAGAATCTCACCCACATGCATAGCTTCAGTAATTCCCCCATAGACTAATAACAGATTTAAATCTTTAGCACATACTTCGCCACTGAGATTTAGACATGAATATCTAAATTCCTATATATCTACATTGTTTGGATGTCTTAAAGATACCATGAATTCAACATCTACAGAGGGGAACTCTTAATTCATCACCCTTCCTTCCTAAAACTAAGCATTTTCTAATATTTTCTATTTCAGGTAAGGCACCAATGTATATTCTCTTATGCAAATCAGAAACCTAAGAATCATATAATTGGCAGCTCTCATAACTTACCCACAATAGATAATATCACGTATTTTACCTGCTAGCTGTGTCTCAAGTTTATCTACTTTTCTCCATTTCTACCTCTGGAACCTTGGTCCAAATTATCATCCTCTTTCACCTGAACTACCACAATAACCTCATCGATTAGCTCCCTGGAGCCCTATTGACCACCATGCCTCTTCAAATCCATTCTCTGCACAGAAGCCAGAATTAATTTCTTTTTTTCAAAATCCAGGACTGATTTTGTCACAACACTCCCTGCTTAAAACCCATCAGAGACTGTCTACTATTTATAAAATGAAGACAAAAACCCTTCAAAGACCCTATTAGTCCCCCACACAACCTACCACACACGTACCTCTCTGGCCACATCTTGTTCCATGCTCTTGTTTTTCAGCACTTCAACCACACTGGATTCTTTCAGTTCCAGGAAACTCACAAGCTGCCTCCCCTCCCTTTTTCTTTTTTTCTTTTTCTTTTTTTTTTTTTTTTTTTTTGAGACGGAGTCTCACTGTGTTGCCCAGGCTGGGGTGCAGTGGCACCATCTTGGCTCACTGCAACATCTGCCTCCCAGGTTCAAGTGATTCTTTTGCCTCAGCCTCCTGAGTAGCTGGGACTACAGGTGCATGCCACCACGCCCCACTAATTTTCATATTTTTAGTACAAATGGGGTTTCACCATATTGACCAGGCTGGACTCTAACTCCTGACCTTGTGATCTGCCCGCCTTGGCCTCCCAAAGTGCTGGGATTACAGGCATGAGCCACCATGCCCGGCCACTGCCTCCCATTTGAACATTTCCATACCTTATGTTTCCTCTGCATTGAACAGCCTCACTTTTCTTTCTTCATTTTACCTTTTCTAATCTTTCTAGCTACATCAATTTTTTTATTATATGCTTCTCTTTAATAGCACTAAGAAAGGCAACAATTCTGTATGTATATTAGTGTGCTCATTTGATTAATGTCTGTCTGCACCCACAAGACTATTAGCTTGGTGAGCCCAGGATCTGGGTCAGTTTATGCTCCATCTACTCTCTCCAGAACCTTACAGAGTGTTGGGAATATCATGCATATGCAATAAATATTTGAAAAATAAATGAACAAAAATTTCAACAGTTCCATTTTCTTTAGTTATCTGAACATAATAGCAATTTTAGGTTGGAAAATGACACCTCATGTGCACTGGAAAGGACCTTTCAGATGGAATATTTAATGACAATGTATTTAGAGAAGCCAAAATGAATGTTCCAACTCCAAGAGATAAATATGAATCCGTTACCACTGCCTCTTCTCTGAATTCAAGCTTATCACTTAGAATCCATGCTGTGCACTGTTCTTTTCTCCTTTTTTCTTTTGTTTCAGATAGTCTAACAAAATTAAAAGGCCATTGTCAGCTGGGACAGAAACAATCAGGATCTGAATGCATTTGTATGTCTCCAGAAGAAGACTGTAGGTAAGAGATACCCTACAGACTGTGTCTGGAAATTGGGAAAACCAGTCTAGTGTAAGAAACTTGGTGGAAGAGCTGAGCTTCTTGAAGCACAGACATGAAATAAATGAAATTTCCACATAACTGATATTCCTGTGCTCTGCTGAATTCCTCCTTCGTCATTAGGTAGCAAGTTTCTTAATTATCTCTCAGCCCAGTTCCCTGTTTAAAATGAGATTGTTTATTTAAACAATCTCGTTTTTATGAGATTGTTTATTTAAACAGTTTCATTTTGGTTATAAAGACTTAACTTCTGCACATGTAAAAACTTTAAACTCAGTTATATCAACACCTTCCTTTTCCTCTCACTCAAGTCCAGGGCTTGGAGTGGGGCGGGGAAAACAGGCACAAGGAAACTGGTTGGTGAGTGAACACACTACATTGGCTACGTGCCCCTTTTTTTTCTGATCTTCATATGGAAATGCTTGCTTTCTTCTCTTGGGCAGCCATTATTCAGAAGATCTCTGTGTGTTTGACACAGACTCCAACGATTACTTTACTTCACCTGCTTGTCAGTTTCTGGCTGAGAAATGTTTAAATAATCAGCAACTCCATTTTCTACATATTGGTTCCTGCCAAGATGGCCGCCAGTTAGAATGGGGTCTTGAAAGGACAAGACTTTCATCCAACAGCACAAAGAAAGAATCCTGTGGCTATGACACCTGCTACGACTGGGAAAAATGTACAGGTCAGTTCCACTGGTGACCACACTAAACGCTCTCACTTAACCTTCATCTCAGCTTGAACATCATCTTCCTTACCAATAACCTATCCTTAATCAAAAATATTTCCTTTTCATTGTAAAAAAAAAATCATGATTTAAACAGAAAGGAAAATTATAATCACCTACAAGTAGAAATAACTTCGGTAGTAATGTGGGTGTTTATCTTGTCAATCTTTTCTCTATGCATATGTGTAATCAGTACCACCCTTAGGCCCTAGTGGGAAGAGCACCTGTCCTGATCTCATGTTTCGAGCATCCCTCCCAGTCCCAGCTTCAGAAGGCCTTCACCAGAATTGTCTAAGTTTCCTTCTGGTGTTGGGACTGTCTGAGGCCAATAGTGCTGTCCAAGCAGGACTGAATTTTGCATTGCCAAAGCATCTTCCTGAAATTTCTTTAAGTCTTCTTTCAGTGCCTGGGTCAAGCCAAGGCTGACAATACTATTCAAGCAGGACACCCTGAGCCCAGACAACATCCCACACGAACGCAAGCACTGTTATACTTTCCAACTCTCTACTGCTTCTTCTCCCCACCATGCATAGGGTCAGCCAGATGCCCCAAAGAGCTCTGGGGCTCATGCCTGTGGAGTCATCTATGGCCCAGAGCTATACCCTCATTCTCAGAAAACAGCTTGGTGAACAAATTGCTCCTGCTAGCCAGCAGGGCATTCTTGCTCAAGATTGCTTGAAATTAGAAAGCCAGTATGATGCTAACACTCTAATTTGGGGTGACTCTAATTGTTTATAGATAAGCACCCCATAAAAAATTTGTCCCTGGGTCTCAAACATCTCAGGAGTGGCCCTGCATATAATACAAATTTTAAAAATATAAAATGGGATCATACTCTCCATGTTATTCTATATATTGCTGTTTTTCACTTACTGTGTCATGGAACTGTTTTCATATCAACATATATTATTCGGCCACATAATTCTCAATGTCTGCAAAAGTCTATATAGGTATTCTATGATTTATTTAGCCAATCTCTGGTTAGCCACTTAAATTTTCTCCTGTATTTTGCTATCATAAATAGTGCCATCATACCTAAATCTATCACAAATCAATCAGTGATCTAAGATTACGTCCTTCAGATATAGCTTATAAAGGGGTATTTCTAGGTAAATATTATTGTTAAATATAATATATTGGCTCCCTATCCAGAAATGTTTTTGCCATATTATATTTCACTCTAGAACATATAATAAAGACTGCTCTCCCACACTCTCACCAAACCTTGGAGTTATCACTCCTTTGTATCTCTGCCAATTTAATACTTAAGGAGTAGCATTCTATTTCCATTTTTCCTAAGTTTACTGACCATAGACATTACATTTGTGAGTTGTTTCGAGGCAGGGACTTCACAGCAGTACATTTGCTCCAAGATGAAGTTTGACCCTGAAATAGTCCAACTAAGCTTTATATCTTTTTCAAAAGATGGATTGGAGATTACAACAGAACCCAAGCAGTTAGAGATACTTCCTTTGTGGAACATTTTCCCAAAAAAAAATTATCTTAAATTGGGGCATAAAGTATGCAAAGGAATGTTTGCTGAAACCACCTTACTTTTGCAAAAAGAAAGACAAAAACTATATTGTTCCCCTTGACTCTTTTTTGGCTTTGTGGCCCAGTGTTCTTCAGCTCAGTCCTGGAAAGGGGAGAGGTCTTATTACTTAAAACCATGTCTTTCCTGATCCACTTCAAGCTGATTATCAAGCTTCAGCTCCCTTGACAGGCCACAGGATTGAAACATGACAGAGGGTGGACATAGCTGGCATCTAATGGTGACAACTCAGGAAGCCAGTATCTGGGGTTTTCAACCTTCATGCCATGACTAAACAAGGCAATTCCATATAACATACAGAAAACCAGGGCCTGATATTAATTCTAATCACTATGAAATAATTTTTAAACAAAAACTCTACTATTCATTTTTTTGATGCTTGATCAACACCATTACTCAACTGACATCTCTTGCAGACAATAATTTGTGATAGAAAAGAGCTGAAAGTATATACAGTATCATTTTTATTTTAAATATAAACTTTTTATCTGAGAAATGTAGTGTAAGAACATTATTGTCAAAAATACATAGAGAAAATAAAATTTGGT